GGAAAGGAAAGGAAAGGAAAGGAAAGGAAAGGAAAGGAAAGGAAAGGAAAGGAGAGATGACAGAAAAGGAGAAAGAAAAAAGGAAAAGGAAAGAAAAAAGGAAGGAAGGAAGGAAGGAAGGAAGGAAGGAAGGAAGGAAGGAAGGAAAAAAGGAAAGGGAAGAAAAAGAAAGAAAGAGAAAAGGGAAGGGAGGAAAGAAAAAACAAAGGAAAGGAAAGAAAAAGAGAAAAGGGAAAGAAAGAGAAAGGAAGAAGAGACTGGACAGCCAGTTGTCTGAAATGGTATAGAGTCTCCTGCTTGAGCTGGAGGTTGGATCTCCAAGGTCTCTTCCAACTCTATTCCCAGTTGGAGGGGGGAGAAGTGATATGGAAACTAGGAGCTTCAGCATGAACTTAGGTGTGCAGCAGGGGGACAGCTCAACTTGATCCCTTGCCTGTCTTAAGAATCAGAACTTGACATTTCAGTTGTTAAGCAGTTGCCAAGTTGATGAACATTCAAGGAGATTTCCAAAGCTTCAGGCTACATTTTCCTGGGGCAACCATCCGCAGCAGCTGGCAACTAGCGTCAAGAGCAGCAGTGTGGTAAATGACTTCATGCTGGAAGAAGTAATTGCAGTGGTGCATTTGATTTGCTCGCCACTCATCATAAAGCCCACATCTACCATAATTGTAACACTCTCCACAATTCTCACTTCTCTTGCTTTGATGGCAAACAATGCATTGCAAATAAGAACACGATTTATTCATGTTGACTGAAAGGTTTTTAATGGATTTACATTGACACAACATAGTTATGCTTCCCTTGCCAGGAATTAAATTAAAAAAATTTTGTAGTGTGTCCTTATTTGAGGTCTGCAAAGCCTCCCGTTTGAAGTCTGCAAATTTTCTTGAAATCATATTTACAAATTGATCTACTTGCAGAGTAGTAACACTATCCCGGTTTTGAAAAGTTGCTTACAAACTTCATCAGAGAGAGAGAGAGAGAGAGATTAAAGAAGTTAAAGAAGCATGAATGAAGGTTGAAAGCAACTTTTCATATATGTATGTATGTATGTATGTGTATATGTATATGTATATGTATGTTGTGGCTCTGATTCCCGAGCCTGTGCTGTTAGAGGAAGAGGACTTGGAAGATGAGGAGGAGGAACTGGGAATGCCTTCTTCCCCAGGACCTTCATCTCTGGCAATGCCTTCCTCCCTGATAATGCCTCAGGTTTCATCAGACAACCGAGAGGAACAGCCTGAGATTAATCAGGAGGAAGGCATATTGGAGCAGCCCCTGACAGGGAGTCAAGAGGAAGAATGTTGGCTTGATCCTAAGCAGCGTCGTAGGGAGAAACGTGAGCAGCAACATAGGAGGCGTGGGAGGGTCAGAGAATGAGCTGAGTCATTGAGCCACA